GCCTACCAGGAAAGTAGGATTTGGAATATCAAAAACAGAAAACTAGAAGAATTTAAATGAGGCACAATCTCACCTCTAACGTTGCACCTATCCAAAAGGCATAACAACTATCATCGTCCTTATGAGCTCTGCCATGGAAACCATGATCATGTTTCCATAAGGCCCATTTGACTAATCGACTAATTTCTTTTCGCGTAAGTACTGACTCATCCCAAAGACGATTGGAGAGTGATAGAGAAGCAATGGCACAGAATGTTGACCCTCCTAAAATATAAGGAAATCTTCAAAAACAATTGATTTTGACAAGATCAAATGCTTACCATGACTTTCGTCTCCAGGACCTTGCCCTATCCCTCCATCATAATTTAAGCTAGCTCTAATAAAACTTTTTAGTAGATCCCAATCGATATATGAATAATCTTGCAATATATGACAGATAGCAACTGCGCAATATACAAACCGCATGTCGCTCTCAGACCCTTGTCCTTCGCTCCAGAAACTAGATATAATGCGAATTGAAATGGTAGCTAGCAAACATGAAAACTACCTTCCATCTTCTCTTTGCGAAGCTCTAATCGAAGAAAGAACAGCTTGTCTATTTACGCCTTGTAGGTTGTCACCCAGGATTGCCAAACATAACAAACCACTGGAACTGCTAACTTTGAGAGCGCGATGACTAATTCGCAAGCAAAAGTTTTGTTTTCATTGGGTAATACTTTAAATATATGCAAAAGCCACTTCTTCCAGTTTTGTTTTATATGTGTACGTGTGGAATTTTATAGTTTCTTGTCATTTAATAAACGAAAAATTGCAACAATAAAACTATTTTGATGACCCTTGGATATAATACCTGTTCAAAATATAAAAAATGAAAATGCACGAAGTCAAAAGAGTTATAATTGAACAGAAACCTGTAAGTTTGTGCAAGGTTGGCTACACTGTGCACTTCTCCTTCAACTTCTGGTGGAAAACCCATACTCCCACGAAACCCACACCATTTCCCTGAAAATAACGCTAGTAAACTACAACAAAGCAATGTGCGAAAACGTAACTCGATTGAAATAACTAGCTGAAAAAGAATGGAAGATCACAATTACAAAAGAATATTTATTCGAGTAGCATCATTCATCAAACGAGTAACAACAACACGACACAAGTATAACGATAACAAATAAGTTTTGAACAGAGAAATAAGATTTTGAATGTAAAATACTGCTCAGATTTAAGAGCTGAATAAAACTAATTCATGTTGATCGACTCCTTCCATACATCATTTATTACTTGCGGCAGCACCGCTTTGTCGCTACTAGGCTGCAGCGGCTCCAATGGTGTGCAAGATTTGTGAACCTTTTTCCGCAATGGATTCCATGATTTTCTGGGAGAGGATTCCTCAACAATCTTTTCGAAATCTTCATTGCTAAAGCTGATGGATAACGAGCTGGTTTGCTTGCTTTCTGGAGGTAGAGGAGCATATATTTCGGTTTCTTCCATACCTTGTCGGGATGTTAAGATCCTCCTTTGACTTTCCTTCCAAAAACTTTTCTGCTCAGCTATTTCTATGCTACCATATCTCATAGTCTGGTAATATACATCTCCAGTGTTCAATGACCTGAGCAAGATCTCCACTTCTCTAGTCTTCGCATCCTTGAAACCTTGGACTACAGCCATGCCATTAGTCGGAATTGGGAAGTTCTTTCTATGAGGTATCGTGGGATGTGGTTTCACTAGCCTATCGTAGCCTTGACAGTCTTCCAAAGC